CGTTTTCATATAACTATAAACTATGATAAAAGTTCATCAGCATGCATTGATTAATCCCCCCCAAAAAAAAAAAAAATATTGCGACCAAATCATGTGGATTTACAAGAGAGTTACATTTACATTCAGCCTGGGTGCAGTTTTTGCCTGGGCCAAAAAAATTGACCGAATTTGCATGCCCTGCTGTAAATTTTGACCGGTTGATGAAAAACAAGCTTATGTGGATTCTACACATTTAAACAATCAAAGACTTAAACTACTTCAGTCTGTGTGCATTGAATTTATTTAATACACAAGTTTCACAATTTGAGTTGAATTACTGAAATAAATGAACTTTTCCACGACATTCTAATTTATTGAGATGCACCTGTACATGTAATCATTTTAGAACAGCTACTGCCGGACAAACATTACACGTTCTCCACTGACAAAATGAAAAATTTGGCATATCATGTCCATATTGGTAGAGCCCATTTTTATGATTTTGCCTGGGGCCCCACAAACCCACAGGTCAGCTCTGCCTAAATCCTACAAACTGATACAGTAGCAGCTCTGGGTGATATTTCTGAGCACTGAACAAACATTCTAGGAAAATATGAAACCGGGTCAGGTCTGACCTGGTCGACTGAAGCGGGGCCATGTTTCTTTGAAAACAGTCATCCAAGTACACCGATGAAACTGCCTCTGTCTTTGTTTTGATCTGAATATGGACACAAACAAACACAAGAAAGCATTCAGAATTGCAATTCTCAGGCTTTATTCACAGAACACAACTCCCATTTGTTTTTCAAGAATCATGTTTGGGACTTACACACTATCAATCATTAAGTGATGAAATTAGATCCATTTGTTTAGACAGTGTGATCAATATCTGGTGTTTGGTTGATATCCACTTGTTAAGTCGTGACGTAAGGAATGGTAACACTTTATAACTTTACTTAATAAATCATTAAACATTATATACAGTTTAACAGATCATTAGTTAATATATATTCAAATAGTTAATTTCATAATTAATTAACAAACATTACATAATGTTCTACTAAATGATAAGTATACTTGTAACTACTAACTTATAACTACTTACTCTAATAACCGTAACCATAACCCAACAGTCTACTAATATTCTGACAGTTTATTGATATGTAGTTACAAATTAATGAGTTATTTGACACTGCAATGTTACTTATAGTCAGTAGAATGTCTAAAGTGGACTATCGAAGTGTAATCTAATATTTTATCGTAAACCTGTAATTGAGTCAATAAAAGCACAGCTGTTCTCTTAACTGTTCTTGTTGCTATGTGTTGCTGTTATGTTTATGTCTTTAGCAAGAATGTAAATTCTCTTAACTAATCACCTTTTACTCAGACTTTGTCACAGCAGCTAAAAGTCCAATTGTGCAAGTAGTAGAAGTCATACACACCACATATAAATGCAAATGTGTCACGTTTACAGACTGGTTATGAATTAATGAATCATATGTCGACATGAATAGTGAGTGTGTAAAATTATGAACATTTTTACAACATTTGTAAATGTAAAAAAAAGTGCATCATTTTAATCAGATTTCTAAGCATTCAAATGCATATTAATAAATTAATCAGTGTATAACAATTTGCAGATTGTTAAAAGTGCATGATCATATATAAATTGAAAGTTTAATAACATTTGTAAACATTTTAATTTACATTAAATAATGTTCTGTTAATCATTATTTAATGTTCAATAATATCATTAGTAAACATTTACAAGCACATTAACTACAATAATTTGTAGTTATTGAATATATATTGACTAATGATCTGTTAAACATTATATAATATTAATGATTTATAAATTAAAGTTATTATACAAATGACTGTCTAATGTGAGTGTATATTAATACTGTTTGCTATATGATTTTGGCATCAGATATAGCATTTGGACCCGGAAACAGTAACACACACAATGTTACACTTAACAAGAGGATAGCAATTATGCAGACATCAGCAGAATGGCGAACGATTTTCTACACTTGGTCAATTCATGTGCTTTCATTAACTTGATAACCATCTCAGAATGAAAAAAACAGGTGTAATTGTCTTCCAAAACACATTCAAGACATACTGCAATCTGATATTTCAAACCACTTCAGGATATGGTTCAAGAAACATCGGAGATGTGACTCGGCCAAGTGCAAATGGATCTGGTTGTTCAAGCCACATACTGTACACAAATTATACAACTCGCCAACTTTTGGATAAAATGTATTTAAGGAAAACTACCAGAAAGTAAAAACCGTAAAACTGAAAATAATACTAAGAAATTACCTCTGGTCTCCCAGAACAGCGCGAGCTCCAAAATACCTCTTCAGCTCTGTCTCTGGATTCAGATTCCTTTATGACCCAGAAGAAAAATAGATCATTTGAGATTACATTTAGATTAGAGAACACATTCACTATTAACTAAGAGTTTTCTCTCAATAAACTCCTGATTTGCTGCTTATTGATAGTAAGGTAGCTGTTGTAGTACTGTAGTTAGGTGTGTGGTAGGCATAAGGGATCTAGAATATGGTCATGCAGAATAAGGCATTAATATGTGCTTTATGTGTACTAATAAACAGACAATTTGCTAGTAATATGCATGCTAATATAAGCAACTAATTAATAGTAAATGGTGTTCCCTAAAGTGTTAGCAATATTTGTCTTTTACATTTACTACATTTGAATGGCACAGAATTATATCACACATGCACCTCACCTGTGTTCCACGTACAGTACAGGTCTGTGTTCAGAGGCGCTGCTGTTTGCGCTCTGGTATGATGGGCCTTTTTTCTTCTCCAGGGTCTCTAACAAAGCATCAATATCATCTCCCACACTCAAATCGTCCTAACAATAACAAACCACATGATAAGTGAATTTTAGACACATGATAAACAGACCTACCATTATAATAAATATGGGCACTTTTGCAACACTGCTGGAATGAATTTAGAGGACCAGGGCTACATTACCCAAAAACACTGTAAGCCTAGATAGATTGTAGAAAAATTGGTGCCAGTGATTCCCAGTTTCTATGATGTAGCGGAGCTTAGAATGGTTGTAAAATTGTCAATTTAAAATGAGTGGTATGGGCCAATGATTCCACATGCTTGGCCAATGTTCAATAAAGTATCTGCTTATACAGTACATTAGTAACTGTTTAAGTCTATTGGAAGGGTCACTGCCATAGAAATAAAAACACAGTAGGCTCAGTAAAACACTTAAAGAAAAAGAAATAAAAACACAGTAAACACATTGGCCACTGGATTGCATGTCAACATCGGTGTCATACTGGACCAGGCAATTAGTGATTACTCTCATAACTGGACTTGAGAAAAGATGCCTGACTTGGTGCAGCTTGGAGCTGTGCTGTACTGTACTGTACAAACCATTGTACAACCTAAACCAGGGCCGTCTTCTTAAAGATTCTAAGAATCCTCTCAGAGAGCTCCTAATATACTATAGAAAAATTTCGAAAAATTTCTTCTTAGCTTAAGAGTGATTCAGGACCAATTTCACATAACGGATGTTTATATATACTCCGCAAGGCAAAATAATAATTGAATTTATAAAAATGACCCCATTCAAAAGTTTACAGACCCTTGAATATTAATACTGTGTGTCATTTCCTGGATGATCCACAACTGTTTTTATGTTTTCTGATAGTTGTTCATGAGTCCCTTATTGATCCGGAGCAGTTCAACTGCCTGCTGTTCTTCTGAAAAGTCCTCCAGCTCCTGCACATTCTTTGGTTTTCCAGCATCTTCTGCATACTTGACCGCTTTCCAGCAGTGACTGTATGATTTTGAGATCAATCTTTCATACATAATTACAAAAGGTGAAAACATTTACTGATGCTCAAGAAGGCAACACGATGCATTAAGAGCCGGGGGTGTAAATTTTTGAACAGGATGATGATGTGTACATTTTTCTTATTCTGATTAAAGATCATATTTTTTCATTTAGTACTGCACTTTAGAAGCTACATAAATACATATATGCTTCCCAAAAGACAAAATAAGGACAATTTACCCTGATCATCCAATTCAAAAAGTTTACCACCCCCCCAGCTCTTAATGCATCGCGTTTCCTTCTTGAGCATCAGTAAATGTTTTCACCTTTTGTAATTGTTATGTATAAGTCCCTCAATTGTCCTCAGTTTAAAAAGATGGATCTCAAAATCATACAGTCACTGTTGGAAAGGGTTCAGATATGCAGAAGATGCTGGAAAACCAAAGAATGTACAGGAGCTGGAGAATTTTTCAGAAGAACAACAGGCAGTTGAACTGTTCAGGACAAACAAGGGACTCATGAACAACTATCACAAATCATAAAAAACAGTCATGGATCATCCAGGAAATGACACACAGTATTAAGATTTTGAACGGGGTCATTTTTACAAATTCAGTTATTATTTTGTCTTGTAGAGTATATATAAACATATGTTATAGGAAATAGCTTATTCAAGACAGTACTAAAAAATAACATGCAATTTTCATGATCCCTCTTATTTTTTTAAAATGATTAACTTTTGCATATTCTGCAAGGGTATGTAAACTTATGTGCACAACTGTATATATATATATATATATATACACACTCACCGGCCACTTTATTAGGTACACCTGTTCAATTGCTTGGTAACACAAATTGCTAATCAGCCAATCACATGGCAGCAACTCAATGCATTTAGGCATCTAGATGTGGTGAAGACGACTGACTCTTGAACGTATCCGTGTGGTGCGGCTGACACAGAACAACATACGCTGTTTGCGTTCAGTGGATACTCTCCAAAATGGCACTAGGGTGACGCAGAGGAGATGACTTGTTGAATAAAGTCATTATTATTTTTTTCTTTTGCGCACAAAAAGTATTCTCGTAGCTTCGTAATATTACGGTTGAACCCCTGATGTCACATGGATTATTTTACCGATCTCCTTGCTACATTTCTGGACGTTGATCGTGGTAGTACCCTTGCTGTCTATGGGAGGGTCAGAGAGCTGTCAGATTAGGGATGTTCATTTCGGTTATTTTTCCTAACCGACGCTCGTTAACCGATTATTAACCGTTAACCGACAAGATTATTTTAAATTAGAATGGAATTAAATTAAAAAGGATAAGTGTCTGTGACCCGTTAAAAATACTAACATTTGTTTCCCGGGGATACATTTTTTTTACAAAAACCAGCAAACAACAGAACATGAGAATTCACATCATGCACCTGCAGTGCTTCTACGAGCGGAGAAAAACATAATAAAGCTTAGATAGATAGATAGATAGATAGAGAGACAGAGAGACAGACAGACAGACAGACAGACAGACAGACAGACAGACAGACAGACAGACAGACAGACAGACAGACAGACAGACAGACAGACAGACAGACAGACAGACAGACAGACAGACAGACAGACAGACAGACAGACAGACAGACAGACAGACAGACAGACAGACAGACAGACAGACAGACAGACGATTAAATAGACCAATACGAGAAATATATCTTTACTTAAAAAATAAATTAAGAAAATGAAAGAAAAACTGTAACAAGTAGCCTAGTATGCAGAGTTTCGGTTCATTTTGGTGCTGCGCGAAAGGAAACCAGACAGCAGAAAGCGGCATCCTATTTTTTTTTAGACTTATTTTACAAAAGCAAAGATTAGTTTTTATTGTGAATGTGCACAAATAAAGGCAAACCTTTTACAATTCCGATTATCTTTATGACTAAAAGGAGTAGTTGTTTCCACTGTTAGAAGAAAAAAATTCAAGTGATTGTGCCGGAGCTGCATGCACGCGCACAGTTAAGCATTGCTACCTTGACAATGCAGCCTATTCATTATCATAATAAAATACAGTCAGTCAAACATAGTGGAAAAAAAAACACACTGCTCAGTTTAAATGTAGCAAAATCTGTGCCGTGAAGTGTTATCACCATACCGCCGTGATGTTATGCTAAACATTTTGTTTTACGTGGATGTTGGAACGCGAGTGAAGTAGGCTACATAATAAATAATAATTTGCCATTCAAATACATCGCGAATACGGAAACATTTGATTTTGTGTCGAATGAGAGACCCAACATTGGTTTCAGTTTCATTTTAGCCTAAATTAATTCGTTTTGGCTTGTCATTTATAT